AAAAAATAATCTGTGAAGAAATTGGAAGCTATATAAAGTACAGTGATTGTTTTATGATATAGCACTTGTGTGGTTGTATGAGTTTTGAATTAAACTACCTGGGTTTTCTTTTCCCCTATAGAACATATAAAGGAGGTGAGGTATGTAGGAAAGTGAGAAGTCGTCCTCACTGGGTTTTTATTTGGAAGAATGGCTGACTGCTGACAAATTATGGTTATTTAACTAGACTTTGGTATTCGATATTTTCTCAGAAATGAAGCCTATCACTTCAAGGAAAGGAACTGACAGTATTTGTTGCCAATGATAAAATTCAAGCCTTGAAGTGAAAATTAGAATTTGGAAAGCCTGTATCTACTGCCATGACCTCGATGGCTTCCCAGTACTTAAAAAGACTCTTCTGATGAAATAGGTGGTGATAGTAACAAATATAATTTTTTCTTCTTGGTGTGTGGTGAAATGTGTCAACATATGGAAAACGTATGCAACTCAGTATTTTACAATGACCAATTTCTGATGTTATAAAATGTATTAAAGGATCCATTCAAAGTAGAAGATAGACCAGTAGGTTTTAATGTAGTGAGTACAGAGCGCTCATTGATAGTTTCAGACTTCTTGTTGCAACTAACCTTTAAGAAACTTGTTATGTTTCAAAGAAAAATATCCACAATTATCTGAAGAGGATATTAAAACACACCTTCTTTTTCTGCCTATATAACTGTGTGAGGCTAGATTTTCTTCATTTACTTCAACTAAAACAACATACCACAACTCATTCCATACAGTAGCAGATATGAGAATGTAGCAGTCTTCTATTAAGGCAGATGCTATTTTTCTTACCTTTTTTGAGAAGATAGTTATTTACATATAACTAGCTTATAAAATATGTAATAATTTTAACATTAAAATGTTAAAATGCAGATTTTATTGTCATTTTAGAATAAATTAATATGTATTTTTAAAACTCAGTTTGGATTCCTAATATAGTAAATGTTGTTAGATATAACCCATATAATAAAAAAAGCTTTTTGGAATCAATAATCTTTAAGAGTTATAAAGAGCTCCTGAGACCAAAATGTTTGAGAACCACTAGAATAAAAGTCTCCAAGATCTATTGTTAGGAAAAGTATAGATTGGTGTGGTTTTATGCTAGCATTTGTGTGTAAAGGGATATAAATGGGGAGACTTATCTTCATGTATGTATGTAAAATTCTTCTGGAAGGACATAAAGGAATTAAGTGTTGGTTCAGCGAGGAAGGAATAAAGGTAAACTTTTTACTTCCTTTTGAATGCATTTGAATTTTAAACCAGATGAATGTATTACTCATTTAAACAAAAACAAGAAATTGAAGCATTTCCACCAGCTATGTTATAAATTTCAGGGAATCTAGCTCTGTTATGAAAAGTTGGAGCAAGTTTAGAGCAATGGGTATTTTTCTAGCATCTCGTTCGTTCGTTATTTCATTTCTTTTTTTCTTTTCTTTTCTTTTTCTTTTCTTTCTTTCTTTCCTTTCCTTTCTTTCCTTTCCTTTCCTTTCCTTTCCTTTCCTTTCTTTCCTTTCCTTTTTTCTTTTCTTTCCTTTTTTCTTTTCTTTCTCTTTCTTTCTTTCAAGAAGGAAATGAAGCTTGCTTATTTTAACGTAAAAAATTTCATTTAATGTCCAAGCCAAATACATTCATGTTGAAATAATATAAATCAAATACGTAGCAATTTCCCCAATGGGGCCCAGGTTATACTGAACTTAAGTTTTAAGGAGGAACAATTTATTATTTTTTTTAATGGCAGTTATTTCTAGTTCCTCGTAAAGAGATTGGATTTATTTTAAAAGACTGTTATAATTTATAGTCCTGTCATTTAAAAGGTTTTGAGTAAGTGCTGCATGAAATGTAGAACTAAAAAGCTAAGTAAATGTTCTGACATTTGATTTAGTACAAAAAGTGCTTTTTAATACTCATAACCTTTGAGGCTTTGGGAATTCTTGAAAAGAATAACTAAGGAATTTAATTTTATTTATTCTCTCTGCCATTAAGTGTGCCTTTTGATCAATGTTCATACTTTTAACTTTTGAATAGATAAAGTGTCCTTTTATGAAGAGGGAAAATTATTTTAATGCAAAAATTCTTCAGATTTTCTTTTTCTCATATAATGCTTCTAAAATTTATTTCTTTGAATGCTGAAATAACATTTCCAGAGTTCTTTGCAGCAGTTTAGAAAAAGATACTACATGTGATTCTGTCCATTAGTTATAGTTAAAAGTTTGCCCACAATGTAGAACCATTTTCCCCAGTTTCTCTCATTAACAAAGAATGACTTTAATGATGTTAATAGGTTTTTCGTTGCATGTGCATTTATAATGTTTGACATTTGTCAAAGCATATGCATATTATTTTCTTTGATTGTTGGCACATCTTGGAAGTAGTACAATTTTCCTATTTTATATTTATGGAAATTGAAATTCAGAGGGTTAAATGAATTGCCTAATGTCAATACAAGCTTATTATATAATTTGAAAGCAGTTTAGATCGAAACAAGGCTAGGTTAGGTTAGATTTAGATTTAAGCAAATTTAGATTTAAGCAAGACTTTTCCTTGCAAAGAAATGCATTTATGTGTACATGCTGTGTTCCAGGTTCTGCGGTCTGATCTGGAGGTATAAAGATAAGATACAAGTCTTGCCCTCCAGGGCTTGAAGTTTAGTGGCAGAGACCACCTAGTGTGAAAAGTGAAGAAGTGGAATGGTGCCCTAGCTGAGGGCCGTATATCTCATACACAGTTTTGAGGAAGTGACGCATAATTTTGAAGAGTGAATAGAAGTTAGCCAGGGTGACTGATTAGGGGGTGATGATAAAGGCATTCGGAAGAAAAGAGTTGAGGGGATCTAAAACAGCACACCAAACTGTTCATAGTGCCATGGGTGTGCTATGCTGGGCTGCATGTGAGAAGAACAGGATATGAAAACAGACAGCATGACCTAAATTTTTCTAAAGGTTACAGGGTGCTAAAATGGAATGTACTGTAAATAGATGGAAGGACTCAGATTGACCAAGGTTTGAGTCTTAGTTCTTGGGCTTATTTGCTGTGGCACTGTAGACTCTTTTGAGCCCTAATAGCCTCATATGTAGAATGGAAATTACATTCAATTTGCAGGTAATTAGGAAAACTATGAAAAATAAAGGTAAAGGACTTAGTATGTGCAAATTTCTCAATATGCAATAATGGAAGATGAATTAGAAGTAAGGACAGTTCACTACACATATTCTAATATCTAAGTAGAACTGAAAAAATATAAATTAAATCTTATTTTAAAAATAATATTGGGACATTTGGACATTTCTAAAACAGGTTAGCTGAAGTGGTTTTATAATTTCATTGTTAGGAATCTCTCAGTGTGACATTTCCTTGGTTTCCTTGTTTGAAAGTAAGACTTTCTGTACAGGGTATGGTTATCAGGTAATGAGACTGCCATGGGTTGGAATCACTTTTGTTTGCATGATGGTTTGTGTCATGCCCATCTCCCAAATTCTGTGGCCCTGGAATGAATTCTTACCTGGAAGACTTGAATCTATCCTCTTTAACTCTGATCTTAGACATATGACTTGTCCAGTTGTGTGTTTCTTCAATATTAAAGTAGTACCTAATTAATTTAGCTTTAGAGAATAAAATGAAGTAGTAGATGGATGTGCTTTCATAAAACACAGTGCCTTAGTCTGTTGGGGCTGCCATAACAAAGTGCCACAGACTCTGGGTAGTTTAAACAGCAGAAATTTACTTCTCCCTCTTCTCAAGGCTGGGGGGTCTAAGATTAAGGTAGCAGCTGATTTGGTCTCTGAGGAGAACTCTCTTCCTGGCTTGTAGACAGCTACGGGCTTGCCGTCTACTCACATGGCCTTTCCTCTGAGTGTGCTAGGGGGTGAGTTAGGATGGAGGGAAAGAGAGAAGAGGAGGGAGAGTGAACCGCTTGGTCTCAATTTTTATGACACTAGTTGCAAAGGATCAGGGCTTCACTCTTACGACCTCATTTATTTAGCCTTAATTGCTTCCTTACTCCAAAGACAGCCACACTGGTTTGGGCTTCAGCATATGAATTTGGAAAGGGGGACACCTAATTTAGCCTATAACACGCAGTAAAACTGGAAGTGTTCTTTTGATGGCTTTATGATTTGAATTTTTGGTAACAATGAGTTAAAAGCCGGACATGTATTATGTTTATTTTATTGTTCTCCAGAGCTACAGATGTATGTGAACCATTTAAGTCCCTACTTTCTGGCTAATTGGTTAGCTATAGAAGTGGCTTACAACTAAGTTGATAGAGAACTCAGAACATTACTCTGCCTAAGGTAATTATAAAAATTCAACAGCCATTCTAATAGTATATTAAGCCTATACCATTTCCTGGAGATTTTTTTTTTCTTTCTTTTTCTTCTTCTTCTTGGCCCAAATCTAGTTTGGTTCCTATAGGAAATGTCCATAGTTAAGTGATAATTTTTAAACTCATTTATCTTAATAAATAGAACTTGTGAACTTTTTACCAATTAACCAAGCAAGCCTTTTAACTAACATGATAAAGTTACACAGTTTTTAATAAAAAAAAAAATTTTTTTTAAAGATTTTATTTATTCATGAGAGACACAGAGAGAGTCAGAGGAATAGGTAGAGGGAGAAGCAGGCTCCCTGCAGGAAGCCTGATGTGGGACTTGATCCCAGGGCCCTGGAATCATGCCCTGAGCCGAAGGCAGATGCTCAACCACTGAACCACCCAGGCATCCCAAGTTACAGTTTTTAAAGACCGCTAAAACAAACCTTAGTTTTGCATAGCAGAATTTGGAACAAAGATAGAAGTGTTAAATGACTTTCAGAATATAAGCCTTCTCCTTTTCTTTATTGTGAATTTCAATAAGAATTTTAACTCAGACTTGTGAGTCTGTTTGCATTTTAGATTGTGGTGAATGGAAGGTCTTTACCTTGGTTTCCCAGAATGATTACATTTATGTTCTTTCTCACAGGCCAGCCCTCCAGATCTCTATATTGAAAGATTTAATATAGCTCTTGGACAGTATATGGGAGCATTGCAGAGCATTGTGCCTCTTTTCATATATATGGTAAGTTAGAGCTGTTTTACTTTTCCAAATATCTCAGTTTATTGATCTAAGTACAGATAGATCCAGTTAATAAGCATGTTCTGTTTATCTTTTCTATGTATTGTGTTAAAAATGAAAATTAATCTATTTTAGTAATGTTTGATTGTGTTGACATAGAATTGTTTACCCTTTTACTGTTTAAAAATTCCATAAATAACACTGCTGAATAGACAATTAGGCATTATTAATCAGTACTCAGCATTTGTTTTATTTCTGCCATATGGAAGATACTGTGCTTGGGAAATAAAATACAAGAAAGATATCTTGTCCTCAGAAAGTAGAGAGTTAAGATGTCTATCTAAAAACATGGTATAGGGATCCCTGGGTGGTGCAGCGGTTTGGCGCCTGCCTTTGGCCCAGGGCGCGATCCTGGAGACCCGGGATCGAATCCCATGTCGGGCTCCCGGTGCATGGAGCCTGCTTCTCCCTCTGCCTATGTCTCTGCCTCTCTCTCTCTCTGTGTGTGACTATCATAAATAAATAAAAAATTTTAAAAAATAAATAAATAAATAAAAACATGGTATATGATAAATGCCAAATACATCATTACAGAAAAAAATAGAACAAAAGTTTCTTCCATTATGATGATCTCTTTCATTTGGAGAATTATGCCACGAGTATAATTTATAGACTATTGACTTTGTTGATTAGCCCCTTCTCTCTCCTAAATATATAAAATCATATAGAATCTTAATGTTGGTGTTCCTGTTGAAGGCAGGGGCCCTTAGCAAACATTATCCCAATTCCTGTTTATTAGATTAGGAAATGGGATGTTTGGTTGATCCTATATTCTTTAGCATAAAGATTTCTATATGTGGAATACTAATCTTTAAAATGATTTATTCTCCATAAAGTAAACTTTGCTGAAAAAACAAAACAGAACATTGAAAGAAATCTGTACTATCAGCAGGGGACTGTTACTTAAATCATTTGTGGGAAATATTTACAGTAGAAAAATAAGCAGTTAAAGGTAATGACATGTACATATGTTTAGAGAGAAATCTTCTCCAGATACATTAGGTGAAAAAGCAAAATGCAAAGCAATATGTGATATTTCTTCATAGCAAGTGTTTTTTTTTTATTAGGGGGAAAAAATTATATCCATATACATGCCAGCAGCATTTTAGAAAAATATAAAAGTTTTCCCAGCCAAATGGGACTTTTAGGAATGCAACAGAGGGTCTGCTGTGGAAGACTGGTTTTTATTGAAAGGTTTTATTTTGTTACTATGTGCATGTTATTTTTATAATTTTCACAATGTGTTTAATAATTAAGAGAATCAGTGAATAACTTGTTAACATTGTTGTTTTTATTTTCCACATCTATACATTGAGTTAACATTTAAATATGAACAAAATCTTGACTTGCCAGTCATTCTGATAGGGATGCTTTTGGCTACAAAAAATAGAACCCCTATTCAAAGTGATTTAAGTAAATAGGGAAAAGTATTAATCTCTTGTAATAAAACCCCACAAACATGGCAGTCTCTAGTGTTGGTTGAATCCCATGGTTCAATAGTATTACTAGGGTCTCCGGTTCTTTCTTGTCTCCTTGATGTACATAACATCAGTTTTATCTTGTTCTCATGGCCATGAGTATTAAGATTCTTTCCACTGAAGCTTAGGCTTCTCTCAATCTGATTGCTCTATGTTGGGTCATGTGTCTGCTTTTGAACCAAAGACCATTCCTAAGAATGCTATAAGCTGAAAAACTTAGACTAATCAGTGAAGTGGATTGTATGTTGAGTCAACCAGTGCATGTCTACTGCCTGCTCTCAGCCTAGATTATTGATAAATGGAGTACCTTTTATTAGTGTTTCCTGTTGTTGCTTTTTGATGGTGATGTAGTCTTTTTAAAGGGCGTATTATGTGCCTGTCACACAGTGTGGTCCATTTGCCTCTACATTTCTGTTTAGTTAATGTTGAGTGTCTTCCTTTGTTCTTTTGAAGGTGTATGGTTCATAGCATTTTATCTTTATGTTCTTTAAGCCCATGCCAGAAAGACAGAACTGATAGTAGCAGAGCTTTTGTTTTTTGATACTGAGTTTTTATGTTTTAATTGATACCTTTATGAATTGTTTCCTAAAGTAATTTATTTTTTAAGTGTTTCAGCTCATTAAATCATTTCCCCCTAATTTAAGCACTAAAAAATAATTTATTTTCTTTTTCAGAATAAGTTTTACATCGAAACCAAGCTTAACAGAGACCTAAAAGATGATCTTATAAAGCTGTTTACGGAACATGTTGCAGAAAAGCACATTTACAGCCTAATGCGTAAGTAATTCAACCCTTGGGGATGAGATAACTAGCAATGATCTTTTTGATTTTTGATCAGAGAATGCATGTACAGTCCAGTGTTGACATCTTCTGAATCATATAGTAAGAAGTGTTGAATTCCAGTTCTCTAGAAACCCAGAGGAATTGAAAATGTGACTTGAAGTCCCCCAGAGAGCTGGGAGCAACTTAGCCATGTCATAGGACAATGCCTTTATATCTGGCCTGATACTTCCTTTTTTCCTCCATGACAATGGGGGAAATATTATTAAGGGATTCACCCCTAACTTTGTTACTGGTAATTCTAGAAGGAGTACAATGTTGTATCTTTGAAATGGTAGCACAGAACTCTCTGATTTTTACTCTCTAGTGTAAAATCCCTTCTCTTTTCTGACTCTATCATTTATTAACTATGTCTTAGGCAAGCTTCTCAGCCTCAGGAGTTTTTTTCTATGAATTGGGATTTGTAAAAGGTTTAACATAGTAATGTAGATTAGTAAGTAAGCAGATAAAAATTCAGTTAGTTTTTCTTTTCCCACTATTCTTGGGCCCTCTACCCCCTCATTTATCCTACCTTTCCTAAAAGAGTATACCTCTCAAGTGGAGTTAGGAAGTCCCTACAACCTAATGTCTCACTCAAGCATCTTTTAAAAGTTCATATTTTATGTGACATATCATTGAAGTTATTTTTTAGAATTTGGCACATACTTGAATTTATAGTGTATATTTTTTGCTTTTCTAATCGTCATAATTAGTTTCTAATGAAACTAATTATGGTGAATTAAGTTCACCACAGTGAACTTTTACCAGAATTTACAGAAGAATTGTTCTAAGCTTGACCATAAACTTTTTTTTATTTTTGAGTTTAAATTAAGAGAAGGAATTATTAAACATTGGTCCAGTATTTTAAAAAGGCCAAGTTTTCAAATAATGTGGTAGATGAAGGTAATGTTTATTTCATCATTATGTTCCCAACAGACTTTTTTTTCCAAGATTTTATTTATTCATGAGAGACACAGAGGGAGAGGCAGGGTTCCTACAGGGAGCCCAGTGCAGGACTTGATCCCAGGACCCCAGGATCACACCCTGAGCTGAAGGCAGACAGACATTCAACCACTGAGCCACCCAGGCATCCGCATTAAGGATTTTGAAATCAGAATAGAGACCAAAATCTTGGGAGCATGACTTTTTAAAAAAAAGCTGGACAGATATTTATAAACATCTTTAAACATAATCTCATGAGATTTTCCAGCTGTTAATAACCTCTTAAGTATTATCTCTGATGTTGACATGGTCTTTGCTTTCATTGTAAGATAGAACACAGCATTTTGAAGTCTTCCCTATTAAAATTCTTTAGAGGAATGACACAATTTCTCTAAAGTACAAAAGCTTTAATTTTCTCTGGGAATATGTTTTTATATTTGTCATTAATTTGGAAACCAGTTTTATTGGGCATATGCAAAGAGAATATTCAAAGAGAATATATAGTAGTCCAAATCTGGCAAGAGAAATCTCTCTTCCGATCCATGTGAGCTTTCCATAGATTTCATGGTCATTTTATGAGATCACACCCTGTGAAGTCTCCATATAAAGGCCTCTCCACATAAAGTCAGGAAAAAAAATGAATTTTTTTTTCCTTTTAAACCTTGAATTAATTTGTACTTTATTTTCTTAAAAAAAGTAATCCTCTTCTTGTTTATTACATAGTTTAATTTTCAGTCAAAAATATACTTAAAGGTAGATACACCTTTCTCTTCCATGTAAACTGTTAAGTTCTTTAAGCTTTTTAATTTTTTTTTTTTTTTTTTTTTTGGAGTAGGCTCCACTCCCAGCATGGAGCCCAATGCAGGGCTTGAACTCATGACCCCAAGATCGAGACCTGAGCTGAGATCAAGAGTTGGACACGACTGAGCCACCCAGGCACTCCAAAGCTTTTGTAAATTGTATAAAACTGAGCCTATCACATATTTACTGAGCAATTACCAGGCAATCCTTTAAAGTAAGAGATTCAGACAGTGACCCCTGGCTTCATTGGTTTGGCCTCTGTAACAAGGGATATTCTTAAGTGTTTAGTAATGCTATGTGGATGGTCTTCAAGAAGATTTTTTAAAAATACATATATTCACTGCTTATTATGTTAGTGGGACCTGTTCTAGATACTTTACGAATACTAACATTTATTTCTCATAACTCTAAGGTATAGTAATCATTACTTCCATTTTAAAGACGGAGAAGTTGAGGCATAAAAAGATTAATATTAATTAAATTGGAAAAGCACAGCTTATGAAGAATTGATTTCTTGTCTCTAGTTGTGCATTTTCCTATACTTGTCCCTCATGCCAACAAAACAACTACACTCCAAATCTGTATTCTAAATTCTGATCAGTTAATTTCCTTTTGTGGCTTTAGATACACTTGAAAATGCTGGTGTTTCATTTTATTATTAACTCTATTAAACTACCCCAAAACATAGTTTTCTTTTCTTTTTTTAAAAAGATTTATTTATTCATGAGAGACACAGAGAGAGAGAGAGAGAGAGAGAGAGAGAGAGAGAGAGAGAGGCAGAGACACAGACACAGGACGAGAGGGGAGAAGCAGGCTCCATGCTGGGAGCCTGATTAGGAATTCGATCCCAGGACTCCAGGACCACGCCCTGGGCCAAAGGCAGGCACTAAACCGCTGACCTACCAAGGGATCCCCAAAACATAGTTTTTTTTATAAAGTCTTTCATTTTGCTCACAGATCTGCAATCTGGGCAGGGCTTGGTAGGTAGGGCACTTTCTCTCCTCTGTACTCTGCATTGGTGGATGTGATTCACCCAGGGGTTGGGGACTTTGAAGATGACTTACTTATATGACTAGCGAGTTGTAGTGGCTGCAGTTTTTCCTCTCTTGTGTTTCACTCAGAGCAAGTGTCCCAAGGTAGAGGAAATGGAGTCAGCCAGTTCCTTAAGTCCTCGGCCTGGAAACTGGCACAGTGTCACTTCTACTGTGTTCTGTTAGGCAGGTAGTTTTAGAGCTCAGATTCCAGGTGAGTGGATGTGGACACACCTCTCCATGGGAGGCCTTCTGAAAGAATTTAGGGACCTGGTTTTACAACAAAGCAAAATGAACACCCTCTCTGGTAAATGCTCTGTTTTTTTTTTTTTTTTTTTAATGCCCTGTTTTAAGAATTGTTTTGTGAATGAAGACAGTGACTTCTTGCTGCAAATAAAGGCTGTTTTCTACTATCTTTCTGTAACATGTGCTTACAAAATAAAACGACTTCTACTTTTGGCTGGTAGTAAAATTGTTTTCCTTTGAAAGTAATTTCTACTTTGCATTAAACTTTGAAAACAGAAATATTAGGCTCTCCATTAGCCAGGGCATCTGTAGTATTTCTATATTGATGATTCCGAATAAATACGACAAAATGGGCCAGTTAATGGTAGAAGTTTCTTGAGAAAATTTAATATATTGAGTTGTAGTAGAAGATTTATAGTATACTTTGACAGAGGGCTTTAAAAACTTATGTGATTATCAGTTATTATCCTTAGATTCTGCCTTTTAGTTCAGACCCTTGTAGTTTGAACTTCTTCTTGGAAGTCAAAAATATTTTTAATTTTAGTTTTGATTTTAAGAATTCTCAAATTAAAACAGAAGAGAAGGTCTTTGGTAAGTTGATAACTCTGAGGAGTAATTGAAAGAGTCGAGGAACTTGGTTCTGGTTCCAGTTCAGCTATTAAGAAGCTGTGTGACTTTTAGGACAGCACTTAATCTCTCTAGACTGCAATGTCATGAACTGTAAAGAAAGAGATTAGTCCTGGAAGTTCACTAAAGTCCTATTCTAGTTTTAAAACTGTTAACTTAAAATCGACAGTCAGTGGAATTGTTGGAGGATCCTTTTTTTTTTTTTTTTAAATTATGTGATTTTGGGGAGAAAACTGTTACACTAAGATAACACCTTACTGGTACCTGTTACATATAAGATCTGTATTTCAGTGGTGGCATGGTAAACTAGAAAGAATATATTATTTAGAGTGAAACACAGGTTCTCAGACCTCTCTGCTATTTGATAGCTCTGTAACTTTGGATGAATTATGCAGTGTTTTTAATTTTCTTTTTAGCCCCAGTTTCCTTATCTGTTAAAAAAAAAAAGTAGATGATAATTAAGCTTGTGAGAAAGTAAATCCTAAGTAAAGTTTATGAGAATTATACTTGTAAAGTACATAGCACCTGTTAAATCCTCAAGAAATAATTTTCTTCCTGGTCTCAAGCTGCTGTCTTACCCCACCCCCAGATTCTCTTCTTTTTCCTTAAAAGAGGAAACAAACTAGAAAATCTCCCAAACACTATTCTCCTAAAAATAATTTAGGTGGAGAGGATTTTAGTGAACTGTTAGACTTTCTCAATTCTGTAGTTATTTGTTATTGAATGTAATTCTTTTTATTAATACATCTCAAATTAATTTTAATGTATTTTATGTATAATTTAATCTGTGAATGCATCATTTTTTCATTTACAAATATATATTTGACTACATATTAAATGTGTGATTGAATGTGAAGTGTTAGTGGAAATAAGACTTACGAAGCCCAAAACAATTGGTCAAAAGTAGAAAAATGAATTAATAGAAATAGAGCCTACGTGTGTGGCACATGTTGAAATTAGAGGTAACCTTGATTTGAAGAGACTCCCATAACCTAAAATTTAAAATTGCAATTTTTAAACATTACATTCTAAAACATGATTTTCTGTAGTGCTTAACATTTGTCATCCTTAAAATTTATCTGTGCCATTCAGAGTTATTACTGTCTACTGCTGATATAATCAGAAGGATACACTTGAACAGTACACCTCTGGCTTTCATCATATAAATTCAAATGTAACTCCCATTTTATGTTTGAAAACTATAAAATCATTGCTGGCCAAGTGAGGAGGCGTTTTCATTTTCGAAAAGGCAAAGAAGCCTGGCTTAGAATAAAATTATGCCAAGTCTTACGGGTTTGGGGGGTAGTAAATTGCAGGTGGTCTTTGAGAGAGAAAGTAAAAATGAACTCTTTGGAATTAGTGTTATCTGTTGTATCCACTAAGATGATGAAATACATTCATATCTGTTAATGATGTTATCTAGAGGAATTATTCCTATTTATTTAAAAATGTTTTAATAAAATTTTTGTTGGAGAGGATAACCTAAAAGAAAGCTGTGACTCTTGGTGTGGTCAGTTGGGGTCACGTGGTTGTGAGAGTCAGTAAAGTGAGGAAGAGCCAGACAACGTCTTGCCTTTACATTTAGGAAGGAAGAAGTATGTGTAGCTGTAGCATTTGGGAATGTGAGTTTCTGACACCTATTGCAGTTACTAAAATTACCAATAATGTGTGTTTCAGAAAAATCCCAAGGGGTTCAAATATGGTGATTTGGGGAAAGAGAAGTGATTGGGGATTTAGAGAACATTTTATTTTCCAAATGTAAATCTTCTGACTCATGAACTTAATGGGAAGCACTTTCACTCACTTGCTAAGTATAACACTGCTTTCCAAAAGCTTATTTTCAGAACCTCCATGAATTGAATTATCTCCATTAGTGCTCCAACAGACCTGCATATATTTGCTTGTTAGATTGAGCTTTACTGCACTGGATTTTTAAAAAAAATTCTTAGGGTATAGACTTGGTTAGTCCTTTGGGACTGTTCTGTTCTTGGACGTGTTTGCCTCTTGTCTTTGGAAGAAATAATAATAGAGAAACCTTGACAATCAGTGTGTTCTGTCACTTTATAACCCATTTTCTCTTCTTCTTTCAGCTTTACTTTTAGAAGCCCAGTCAACACCATTTCAGGTCACACCTTCAACTATGGCAAATATTGTGAAAGGCCTGTACACTCTCAGACCAGGTAAACAGTCATCATTTCTTTTGGGCTTGGACTTACTTGTTTATGACAGCTCCAGGCTTATCTAAGAGGGCAGTGTTTCCGTATGTGTTTTTTGAGACCTAATGGTAATTGGAATTGTTAGAACCAAAAAAAATTGAGTAGATACTACACTCATCATTGTTAAATGTAAGCTCCAGACTCACCTGGAATTCTTTCTGTACTGATGAAAACTAACTAGTTTAGGAAATACAAGAAATAATTGGTAGCAGACATTTAGGATAAAATTGAATCTCATGTCTAGTGTTAATTAATCTCTGTCCTTTTTGCTGTGGAGTTTCTCCTTCATCTATACCCAACACTCCAGATACACATAGACATATATTGCCATGACTACATCTTCCTAGGCCTGTTTTGTAACTGGCAAGGCATCGAGAAGTGTTGGAAAAATTAGTCATTTTATAAGTCTATTGTGAGGAGAAGGAGAATAGCAGAGCCAAAAATCAAAGATTACTACATTTAAAGGCATGATTTGTAAATTATCTTAATGTATCTGTCTTAGAATTTAAAAAAGCCATTGTGAATTTAAAGGAATCCCAAGATATTTTTGTATGTATCTTTCCTGTTTGTAAGCCAGAACCTCAAACTTGTTATACAGTTGTCTAGCAAATTTATAAAAAGTCCATAGTAGAGAGATTGCAAAAGTTCTCAGGGTAGAACATTGTGCACAGTCTAGTGAAACATAAGGGATGCTTTTTTGACAATACTTTTTTTGTGGAATTCTTATGTCATGTAAGGATTAAATGAAATAAAACATGATCTAAAGAGCTTAACATAGTAACTGATAATAAGCATGTCTGACATTTGCTGTTTTTATTACTATTCAGTTAGGTTCAGTAGCTAGTTTAATTAATTGATGGCTTGTTTGCTTAATTAATTTGAAAGATATGTCAAAATTTAGCTTGCCAAAATGGAAACCAATTAAAAACTGTTGTACTGACAGTGGACTATGATGTCAGAAATACCTTCTTTCCCAGGCTACTTTAAGCAGTTAGGGTCTTCTAGAATATCCAAATGTAATGTTAACTTGAATATGCATCAGGTCTTCCTCTCTTCATAACTTCATAAACAAGTTTTTCTTAGTAATTACCTATATAAATAGCAAAAATATTTTATTACACATGTCCAATAAACTGATGTTTCTAGTTTCTCACAGTTTTGCGTTCATTTTACTAAATGTGATGAAAATGGCTCATGAATTTTTTGTTAAGTGCTAGGTTGTGAATGACCTTATTTTTTAATTTTGGAAGGCATCCAAGTACAGTATGACAATTTTCTAAATTCTGTCTCCCAAGTAGGTGGCTTTATCAGCTCAAGTAGGCAGCTTTATCAGCTCTGGCTTTTATCATAAATAACAAAATTGCAGAGTAAAACTAATCACTAAAGGTAGAAAAACTTACAGATACATATTTATCCAAATGCTGTTTTATCCAGCGTTGAGCTCTTGTAATAGGATTCTTACTACTTGTGAGAATTCTGTATTTGAGAGTTGTCCTTTTGAAAAGGAGAATTTTATCAGACTAACCTTTTGCTGCCCTAGGCATTTTCTGAGGTACTATTAAACATATTTTGACATTTACGTGTCTTGCTAGTACCCATTGTGTTCCTGGTTTGTTAAAGTAATTTTATTAACCTGACAGATAAAAGTTAGAATATTATAAAAGTTGAATTTTAAATGTAAAAGTTGTGTTCATTGCAGTGGTTCTCAAGTGCTGGTCTTTGTATAATGAACGCATCTGAATCACCCAGGGAAGTTTTTAAAACTAATTCCTGGGCCCTAATCCTTGGAGATTCTTATGACTATTATAATTTTTGGTGTGTTTCCATCTGATCTTATCTTTAGAAGCTTAATTTAGAAACAGTGCCAGCTGTCCCATCCTGCCCTTCTTTGTTTAATACACACACTTTTCTTTGATTTCTTCATCTTTATTTTAATGATTGCCTGGAGTTCCGTAAAATGGCAGATCAGTTTGACTCCTGCCACCTCTCACTGACAGATCAGTGGTTCTCTAGGACACTGAATGGAGACTCTAAACGTATATTTGAATTGAGTTGGAAGGAGGGACACTATTGACAACAGTTTGCCTTGAGTTTATACAAGGCGTGAGTAGATTGGCTCTGGTATTTTTTTTTTTTTTTTTGTGGTACTTGTTTTTTTTGTTGTTTTGTTTTGGTCATGTCTAACTTTTCTGTTGGACATTTTTTATTTAACCAATGACCCAGCATTGCACAGCATTACACATTTTTTTTCCAGATTTAGAATTATTTACTCAGATTTTAAAGTGAGTTCACTGGATTAAATCTAGATTGACATTTTTTGGTTTTTGATTCATACAACTAAGACGTTTTCCAAAAGGGAAAATTTGAAAGGGTAGGATTAAAACAATCGAAAACGGGTAACAATGCTAAATTAGGACCAGCAACAGGGAAGTAGAGTGCTAGTTTTAGCATGCCCTTGATACAGGTGGGTGTTATTTATATTTAATGTTCATGGAATAAGGGGAAGAGAGTGTTTATTTTACCTTGAGTTCTGAATATTAAGGCTATTATTCTGGGTTTTTTTTCTTATATATTATTAGTCTTGTCTTTCACTCATTTATGGGGTCTTACTGATTTATAAAAATGCTTTATAAAAAGGGTACTGACTCACCTATGTCATATCTGATGCATGTTTTCCTTCATCTTTGCCTTTTTTTGTTTTGATAGCTGAATGTTTATTTTTCTGTAGTATTCTCTTGATATTTTATCTTTTTCTTAATAGTTAGATAACCATTTTGATTCTCTTTTAATACTGTAGATATTTAATTTGCTATAATTTAATGTGGGCCAAAATAGGTTATTTCAAAAAAAAACTGGTTATCTTTCAGCCCACTTATTACATGTTCAAACCTCATTCCCCATTTTTGTGGTACTTCTTTTGTATGTCTGCTTATTGCTACCTGTGCTATTATGTATTCTTGAGTCAGTATACATGTATACATATGTGTATGTCTGTTTGTTTTTGTTTTTTTGTAATGAAGTAAAGTTGATAAGCAATGTTATATTAGTTTCAGGTGTACAACATTGATTAGACAGTTCTGTCTGTATTACTCAGTCCTCACCACAATCAGCGTAGCTCCCATCTGTCACCATACTACTTTATTACAATATTATTTACTGTTTTCTGTGCTGTACTTTTCATCTCTATGACTGTTTTAGAAGTGGAAGTATTTCTTAATCCCCTTTATCTATTTGGCTTATTCCTCCTCCGATCTCCCATCTGGCAACTACTAGTTCTCTGTATTTAAGAGTCGTTTTGTTTGTTTGTTTTATTTAATTAATGCTTATTGGGGCTCGTATTTCCACCAAGTCCTTGCCTCTTAAGTACCATCCGACTCAGAATTCTTTGGTTATCTCACTCATGTGTTTTCCCTCCCATATTTAGAATTTTCAGTAGGTCCATTCACCAATTTTCAAAAAGTTTTGTTAAATCAGCAAAATGTAAAAATATCTGCTTTCTTTGTACTATAAATTCTTTTTTAGAAAGGATATTTAACCTGTTTATATTCCTTATAAGAATGGAATTGCACTAATTTCCCCCCCCCATTTTAAGTTTGGTTTAATATTCTTTCTGTGATTAAAGAAAACTTTCCCTTTTTCATTTATTTTGTCTTTATGATTTCCTTAATGAATCTTTTCCTTCCCTCCAGAGTGGGTTCAGATGGCTCCAACTCTGTTTTCTAAATTTATTCCAAACATTCTCCCTCCGGCGGTGGAATCTGAACTTTCTGAATATGCTGCTGAAGATCAGAAACTTCAAAGAGAACTTATACAGAATGGTTTTACGAGGCAAGCTTTTTACCCCCCCCCCCCTTTTGACAAAATATGTCCATTTCCTTAGTCCAGGGGTTAGGGCCAGGGTTCTTAGAATGGGAAAGAGCCATCAGGCAGTCAAGGTGATGCTGCTGGGGGAGGTGGTTAGCTGCCTGTCTTTGGAAATGGTGAAGCTAGAATTTGGTTTTAATGGAAGCTGCTCTTCACTAAAAATGGATTTGGAAGAAAGGAGTTCTCATTGGGTGATTAGTTAGGCTGGGAAGTCTACAAGCACTCTTGCAGTTGTGATCCTCTACATTAGTTCTCAATGTTTGGGAAAAGATTGGTGAAATTTTATGATTAGTTATAATGTACTTTTATGACTGATCTTAGCAAATGACTAGGTGATGACTAAACTAGTAAAGCAGCTTTTTGATTCTGTTTTTCATATTTCTACTTTTGCCCCAAATTCTACTTATTTCTTCTTTAAAAAGTAGAATATCTCTTTAGATATGTTAAGAAAATTTGCCTTGCTTGCTTGGTTTTGAATGTGTGTGTGTTTGTGTGTGTGTGTGTATATTTGGCCGACTTTTCTAAAATTTGCAATTTGGTATCCTAGCTATACTATATCCCAGAAAATCTTGCAAAGTATATATTTTCTTTTTTTAAAAAAAAGATTTTATTCATTTATTTATGAGAGACACAGAAAGAGAGAGAGAGGCAGAGACACAGGCAGAGGGAGGAGCAGACTCCATGCAGGGAGCCCGACATGGGACTTGATCCCGGGTCTCCAGGATCACGCCCTAGGCCGAAGGCGGCGCTAAACCACTGAGCCACTTGGGCTGCCCACAAAGTATATATTTTCAACTGAAATAGATTATGCTATGGGAAAACACCCACTTGTGTCACCAAATCATTGAAGGGTGCAGTAAGGCCTTTTATTTTCATAATCCTTACTCTTAGCACTTTTACATATCTTCTCTTATTTGAATTCCTAACATTAAAGGATGTTATGGAAAGTTTAGACACCTGGGTTTCTCCCTGAGGTATAAATTGTGATCACAAATAGTAGGCTGAACATTGACTTGCTTATCTGACTAGGGCTGTGGATGAACAATCTCTTTTATAGGTTCTGAGGTCAAGCTAAATCTCAGAGTATCAGTCTTGAGCAAGATCGTTTTTTATTGTCTCTAGTCTCAGCCCAGGTCAAGAAAGAAAGCAGAAAATCTCTTCTCTGCAGCCTTACGCCTTGGTATTTATTCCCATTTTGTCCTGGTGCCATCTGTATTCCTGTAAGAATCGGGGCACTGAGTAGTCCACTGGTCATTTACCTACTCACTGGCAGCTCACATGGGAAAGACTCATGCAAGCTGTGTAGGTTCGTCTAGTAGGCCTGACTTTCTTGGGTCAAGTTAAGGGAAGGCAAAGCCATAGAAAATACTGGAAAGTAGGCAGCTGATTTTTCTCCCTGAACCCCAGTGGTCAGGTGTTCTCTGATATTAATTGCAGTATTTCTAATAGCAGAATTACTTTCATTCCAGACTGAGGCAGTTTAATGCCATAGTAATTTTACTTACTCATTTTTGAAGAGCTGTTACATTCATGTGGTTCAAAAGTCATGATATAGAAAGTACACATTGATTCTTTTTACTGCTGCTTTTTCATAGAAAGATACAAGCAGATACAGTATATGTTCTTACTTGTACTCCTTCCTTACTCATTCTATTGTGTAGATAGAACTTTTTTTAACCAGTCTCCTGTGGATGGCAATTTGAATTATTTCCTATCCTGCTGTGACAGAGAATGCTGGGATGAATACCCTGTAGGTGCATAATTTTGTACCCCTTGCAGGTCTGTCTGGAGAGTAAATTCCCATAAGTGAGATCATTGGGTCAAGAGGTAAATGTAGTTGTAACTTTGATTAATGTCACCGGATTGGTCTTCTACAGGGCATTATGCCACTTTGCATATCCAGTAGCAGTTTGGAAGTCCTCTTCATGGCCTTGCTGTAAGAGAATGTTACGCTTGTAGATTTTCACTGGTCTGGCAGGTGAAAAATAATTTCTCAGAGTTGTTTTAATTTGCATTTCTCTTACTATGAATGAGGCTGAGAATATTATCAGCTTTGTATTTCTTTTTCTGTAAACTGCCTGTTTATGCCCTTTGCTCACTTTTCTGTTTGTTAGCCTTTTTTTTCTTGAAATCTAGCCTTTTTTCTTGAATTTTCTAGCTGTGTCTGTGGTGAGAGATTGATTCTCTGGCCAAGATAAGATAGTTAATTTTCTCAGTTTGTCTATGACTGTGCTTATGGTTGTTTTTTTGTTTTCTTTTAAATCATGGAGAAGTTTTTTATTTTCATGTAACTTTATCAGTTTTTTTCTTTAGGGCTTAAGGATTTTGAATTACAGTTAAAAGTTTTTTCTTAATTAAATGCAAAATAATTTGAGTATACCTTTTATGGTTTTTTCTAGGCTTACCATAATGAAGTCTTTTATGCTTTTATTCATATTTTTATTTGAATGCTTTTTAATTTTAGAAGTGGGTTTATTGATGCCTTTAAAAAGTAAGCAGCGTTCCGAAAATTTATTTTTGTGAGGCAATATATGAAGATAGCTCTTGTGGATTTTTCTGAACACCTTGAATTCACCTTCCAGAACAGTGTGGAACTGTGTAAACATATCCAGAGATATTTTCCTAACCCTAATTTTGGAACTGGAAGAAGAGAACAGAGTGCAGGGCTGCATAGTGTATAGTAGTTCTTAAAATTTGCTTGGGATGAATGAGTGACTCCATAAATAGGCTCGTGGAACATTGACACATGGCGCCCTTCTGCCAAGGCCAGGTTGGTCATATTCAGGGAAGTACCTTGGATTTTTGGTGTAAATTGTATTCTCTCACTGGAATTCTTTCATACAACTTCTGCCTGAAATTTAAACATTATATTCCTAGAGGTGATAAGGTTAAACTGTTTTTTTTAAAGATTTTATTTATTTATTCATAGGACAGAGAGAGAGAGAGAGAGAGAGAGAGAGAGGCAGAGACACAGGCAAAGGGAGAAGCAGGCTCCATGCAGGGAGCCTGATGTGGGACTTGATCCCTGGTCTCCAGGATCACACCCCAGACTGCAGGCGGCGCCAAACCACTGTGCCACCAGGGCTGCCCTAAATTGTTTTATTGTATAAATCAAAATGGGCCATTTCTAGAATTTCTGAGTTAACAACATATTATACATTCACTATGAGGATTAAAGTCTGTCGCACAAATTATTTAGGCGGGTACTTTGCACATTGTCGGTCCTGCCTCACCTGACGTTCTAGGACTTAGTCCATTCCGCTGCTGAGCTGGTCCAGAACTGTCAGAAAGGATGTGCACACACCATGTACTTAGCAGCCGAGAGAAAGTTGCCTCCGCTTCCAGCTCTTGTGTAAGGGCCTTCCGTATTCGGCACTGCCAGACTTGATGCTGTTTTGATTATTTGACCAGGATTGTTTTGGAAGAAATGGTGCCCACTGATGCAGAAAACCTTGAGAATATAGTACAGGCTATCTAACAAGAATTCTGTTATTGGCTCTCCCGATTGAGCATTTTATGGTTTATGTCTAACCAGTCACATGAATGATTCCTGTTTAGCTTGGCAGACTGGTTTTTTTCATTTAAGACTGTGTTCTGTTTACGTGGTATAGTCATGAAAGGTAGCACCCAGCTTTGATGTAGATGGCACCGAATGTCTTCAGAGTGTTTTGAAATGATGTGAATGTTGTCAAATATATCCTTAGTTGCAGTTAATGGGCATTTGTCATTTGAACTGAAGTTTATGTGCAACATCTTTAGGTACATGGAAATATACTTACTTCTAAGCTAGAATTAACATATAAGCTAAAAGCAGTATTTTGTTATCAGTTACCTGTGTAATTCAATTGATTATTGGAGGGCGGGGGAGGGCAAGTTGGTGTCTGAGATTACATTATGGAGGAAAGCTTGTTTGGGAACTTCTAACATGCATGCCCTCAGATGGAACATTCTCTTTCAAACCAGCCTATGGGCCTCTTCAAAGCTTGTACCAAATAGCTTTTAAAGGCAAGTATTAAAAAAAATTAAAAAAAGAAAGAAAGAAAAAAAAAGGCAAGTATTTTGAGGGTAATTGTTACTTGGATTTCTGGAACAAAATAGAACTTTATAGGGATATTGTTATCTTTTAGCTTAGAGGGTCACTCTAGAATTGGCACTTTTTCATTAAGTAACAGGTCCGGTTTTGAGGGCAGCCATAGCTTTCCAGACTTGGGACATTAGGTCATATTTTTGGCAGTCTCTTGCTATGCTATATCATATTTATATTCTCTCTCTCCGTCTTCTGTTGTTTTCACGTCTGTATTTTTCTCCTATTACTTTTGCACGTTCAGTTTTTATTTAACCTTTCAGGGGTGGGAATGAAGATTTTCTGTAGAAGTTGAGATTCTGGAAATAAAATCCTATGTCTTCCTTTTTGACCAGCATTAATTTATTTGTTTCAGAATATTTGGTGAATAGTGCTGTGATGGTACTCGTATAAGATAATATGTAAGTGTAAATAATAATATAGGATACCAGCTGGTTTTGTAGGTTAACAGGAGAGGTGTTTAAAAAGTAGTGTTAGGGCACATGTGTTGAGACTTCCGTAGGCTGCCTAAGGCTGGTGCATACCAAATGTGGTGCATGTTTTTATCTAAATGCCCAGCCTAGAGAAGACGCATCAGAGGCCATTGGGTATTTTCTCTTCCTGCTGACCATTGAGACTCCTCACCCCACCCAGCAAGAGGTTTCTGTCATGGTCTTGAACACAGCCAGAGAAGGGGAGTGGGAAACCTTGCTAATCTAGAAGATCACTCCAAAGCATGAAATAATTACTTGGGCTAGCATCTTCATAGTCTGTCTCTAGAGGCCTTTTATGAATTTTTCACTGATTTGTAAAATCAGCAAATATTTATTTTCTGCTAGATACTGTTCTAGATACTGGGTAGACACGACTGCAAAGTTCCTGTTTTTATGGAGCTTATGTTCTAATGTTGGGAGATAAATAACAAACATGTAAATAAATTATTTCAAATAGTAAAACGTGCTGTGAAGAAATTGAAACAGAGCATGGGATAAAGAGTGAGTGAATGACCAGGGCATGTATGATGGGCTGATCCAGCTAACTGGAACATGAAATGTCTTCTGAGAGGGAGAATTCCAGTGTGAGTGATAAGTAGACTGCCACATGGCTAACTGGTAGTAAGAGTGCTACAGGCAGAGAAGATGAAAAGTAAGAAAGTGATGGCATGTCCTAGGGTGGAAGGAAAGCCAGCATGACTGACATATAGTGAATAGAGGTATAAAATGAGGGTAGAGAGATAGGCAAAAGCCATGTCTCACAGGACTGGGGAAAATGAATTTGAATTGATTTTTAACTGTGATGGAAAGCCACTGAAGGACTTCAATCAGAAGCATGAAATAATCTTATTTATGCTTTTACATAAGATTGCTCTAGCTATGGTTCGGACTAATAATAAGACCTGGAGATGTGTAGGGAAAGGATGATAGCGGCGTGAATTGGGAGCGTAGCCATGGAGTTGATGGGGAGTGTTTGATTTTGGATTATGTTTTGCTACAGAGTGCTCTAGAGTGAGAGGAAGAAAGAAATCAAGAATAAGTAGGATTTTGGTGTAATTCGTGGCTAGAGGTGCCATTTGTTGAGGAAGACTGAAAGAATGGGGATGGAGTGGAGTCAGATTGCATTCTGGTCTCAGTAAACTGGCAGCATTTATCAATCTTCCAAGTGACAGTGGTGATGAGATAGTTGGACCCACAAGTCTGAAGTGTAGGGAAGAAATCAGAGCTGGAGACAGAAATCTGGGAGTCATTGGCATATGGATAGTATTTCAAGTCACAGGACTGGTATGATCGCTGTCCTAGACTAAGGAAAATATATAGACAGAGAAGAAACAGTGGCCAAGCACAGTATTGAGTGGAGCCAGAAGTTTTTCAGGAAAGAGGAGATGAACTGTGTAGAAGCTACTAAGGGACCAAGCAAGAAAAAGCTAGCAAATTAGTTATTACTCATTACTTGAGCATTTTAGTGATTTGCATGGATTATTGTCTGAGAAACTGGAGAGACAAAACTAGGATTTACAGGCAGCCTAGGACCTAATCAGGACCTCTATTTCCTTATCTGTAAAGTGGAACTAGAACTTCCTATCGAAGATGAACTACTTAATACATGTGAAGATTCATGTTTTTCCACCTGTAGGAAAGGTATATATATTATCTACATAAAGATTCTGAGATTTTCAAAAGCTGTAAGTAGCATTTGGTCTTATAATCAGGCTTTCTTGGAGGAGGATCACCTGGGTGGTTCAGTCGGTTGAACGTCCGATTCATGTTCTCAGCTGAGGTATTGATCCTTGAGGTTGTGAATTCAAGCCCAATGTTGGGCTTCACGCTGGGTGTGGAGCTACTTAAGAGAAGGGTGTTTGGGGGGAACATTTTGGATTATCCTGTATTTCATATCTGAAATTTGTTCTAGCATATGCAGGTCAGTAGGGATGTTGGTAGCAGAATCCAGATTTATCTTCAAAGACGTTTTTAGCCTCAACCTGCTTCTAAAACCCAGTGTAAGCCTTTTTATAGATAACCCTTCCTTCGTTTAATAGCTTTCTATATTTAAAAGGCAGCACCCTTTAGATAAGAATATTCTGCTTATAAATGACCGTACTACTATTTAAGTTTAATGTCTGTTTTAAGTTAGTTGTTAGAATTGAAATACCTGTTTTACTTCTGTTACCAGTTCTGTCTTTTCATGTCTCCTGTTTTGGTATATGAAGATGTCCATATGTTCTGTTGATCCCCTCTTCTTTTCTTATCCTCAGAGGTGACCAGTCCCGGAAAAGAGCTGGGGATGAGTTGGCTTATAGTAAGTAATGATGTTCCTTATCATTTCTGATGGTTTTGTTATGTAAGGCAGCTCCTGGTGGTGACCGTGTGGTGAGTATAATGAAATCTATAGTCTTGTTGATGATGGCCTCATGACGCACTCTGTGTGATCAAGGCCAAGGCCAGAGTGTTCACAAGCTGTGGCAGATCTGGAGTCTAGTTGGTGGCCATGGTTTTCAGCAACTGCCAAGAGCCTCCCAGATTCTAGAGTTTCTACTAGAAAGGGATGATGGCCCCACCTTAGTCCCTGATAACACAGCCCCTTTCACTACAGTCTTTTTTTTTTTTTTTTTTTTAAATCTCCTTTTGGGGTTTGAGAGAGGGGTGAGAAATAGATGTTAAATAAACAGATTCTTACCATTATCAAATGCCATCTGCTATTCATACTTTTTCCTGTTGCAATTTTTTTTCCAGACAGCTCATCAGCATGTGCAAGTTCCAGAGGGTACAGATAGTGAATGTATTGAATGTACTTTCTTCTTGAAAAGAGGACACACTGGAGCTGCAGAGACTGTATTCAGAGCACAGTGGGGGGCCTGCAGACACTCAGGAGTCTGATACGAAGTTGTTCTTGGAAGAGGATGTTGGACTTCTTACTTTGGTTTGTAATTTTAAAAAACAAAAAACTAACAAAAACAAACAGTTGCTGCTAGACTTGGGGATGATTTTGAAATGGGACAATCTTTTAATGAGTTCATCTACAGATTCTGTGAGGAACAAGCATCTTGAAAAGTGACCATTGCTAAGGGAAATCCAGCAGCCAACATCAGCAGCTTCCTCCAAAATTATAAGAGCAGAAGAATTTTTTTTTTTAAGCACTTGTTTTGTTCATTTGTGGACTTGGCACTTCAGCATATTGGCTCTACACATCAGGATCTCTTTTGCTTTAAAATCAAACATCATTACGATACAGTGTTTTTCACCCATTACCAAAACAACCCCCTTTTTAAAGAGTTGGTCTTTGTTTAGCATTAGAAAGTCTTGTTAAAGGAAAATGCTAACTCTCCTTCTGCTACAACTTCCCCTCACCAGTTCACAACTTTTTTCTACTCTGTGCCTTGAGCTTTGTGCACTTTGCAACTCTGTGACCATGTTGTTCAACCCACACATGCTTCCTGAAAAAGTTTATGGTATCACAGACTAACCCCCACTAAGTGTTCAGGTTGACTTTGTAGCAGGACGCTAAGTGGGGAGATAGAAGCATGTTGCTCATTGGTCAGACTTCCCTCTCCCTCCCCATGGCATATTCGTGTTAATGTTGGGGACCAACTCTTGTAGAACATATCCATTCCCTCTGTCACTTCACATGATTTCACCAACTGCTGTAGTATTGGCATTATGCTATTGTAGGGGTGGGCTGTATTTTAGCACTAAAGCTCCCTTTTTAGTATTGTGGAGAAATTACCAGTGGTGACAGCTAGTTACTGTGATGCTGTAGGAAGCAGATATGGTTGTTAAATCCAAATATAATAATTGGTGTCAGATTCCTGATCCATTTCATTTTAAATGGGTGAGATAGGTACTTTAAAAAAAGTCTGCAGTCTGCATATTTTTTAGCATTATTTTCAAGTATAATAGAGAAGTAGCACTGCTGTTTCAAGCTTCCTTCCAGCTGTGACACAGCTATGTATTTTTTTTTTCTACACCCACAGTTCTGTTTAGTTTCTTTTAGTTTCTTTTAAAGCTTATTCTAGTTGTTTTTGGAAGGCAAAGAGAAATAGATGTGGCAGGTGAAAATATTTTTCTTCTCAATTTTGTTTGAATCTAAATTGAGCATATGCTTGACTTGATTTGGTGATGTCACACTATATTTACCTCTTCAGAGAACTTAGGGGCAAAACAAGATCTATCAGGGACACTGTCACACTTCTGATTGTCAGGTGTTTCATAAAGTTGGCCTCTGCCAATTCAGTTTGTCTTTTTTTTGGGAACAGGCTGGTTGGGAGAATTTGAAGTGTGATGATAGGAGCAAGTAAGTCATCTGATAGAAGTCTCTGTAAAATTATCGTTCAGAGAAGTAAACATATAAAGGTTGTCAGATTTATTTTTTAAGTACTTATCAACCAGAGTTGGTGGATTTTGCGGAGGACTTTGAATTAACTCTATGAGCATCTTAGATTGTATCAATAAACACTGAATTACTGTAAGAATATATACAGGCTCTCACTGTGCCCTGTACAGGTTGATTTGCTACCCCAGCGACATTCTGGGGTTAAGGAAGAATTCCATTCTATCATGAAGTCCAAATTTTACTTTTTGCCATGGAATGCTTGCTGTGGGCTTATATATAACACCTGTGACTAATGTCTCTACTGAGTGGTTTTAATAATAATTCTGAAAGGAATAAAATTGGGATGTTTCTTTAAATGTGGATGAATTCTTCATTATCCTAATAATGTGCCCAAATGCCTTTTTTCTGGGAGAGTATTCTTTGGCCAACAATGGAACTTTTTCTATAAAAGCACTGTATTATGTTGTGAATTGGCATTAAAATCTTCATATGCTTTTGCATTATTAAGTTAATGGAGAAATATTTCATACTGTCTTTTTATTATTATGTGTGTGTTAACAAGTGAGCAAAGTTTGCAGAATTTAGCTTCTCTAAATATTTGCACAGTGACTACAGCTCCCTCTGGGCCAGGGCTTGGCACTGCAGAGCCGTGAATGGAAGGCACTATAGAAAGAATACACACATCCTCCTAGTGCATGAGACTTTTGGTTGTGACTCAACGTGGCCCCTTGAGGTACATTGCAGGATGAAAAACCTATTTCTTTAAGTAGAAATTGGCCTTGCTTGTTTAATTGGGTTTCTAAACAAAATTCTAAGTTTGTAGCATGAGAGGAAATAGATTTGCCCTCCATTTTGTATTGACTAAGCCCAGTTGACCAGAAAGTATTTTCTTCTCATGTTTACTTGTATTCTTCTTGCCAGTACAGTATCTAGTTTCTCCACCTCAGTTCAATACTGGTTTTTGTGAGGCTCAAATCATTGAGGACAGAAAATTGTGCATTGATTGCCTTATTAGTCAATACGTAGTTGATTTGGCGAGCCTGACTGGTGTGTACGTGCAGCCTGAAACTAGACTCTTCCAAAAGAAAGCCAGTTCAGTTCCCTTAGAGTAAAGACATGTCATAGTAAATGACGATTGTTTTGAAAGACGGTACTTACTTGAAAAGTTGGCCTTATGCTCGAGTAATGGTGTCATCTCCTGTTCTCTGTGGTCACGGCTGCACCCTAGCCTGACAGGAACTTCTACTTTGTTTTCTGTGGGGCAGAAAGCAAAACCTGGTATAGTGACTCTTAATCAACTAGTACTTAGGTAGAGTTAGAAGAAACACAAACTTGGATGCATGTGTTGTGCATTACTAAATTTTGTGAGAAAGTTACTTTTTTTTTCTGTCCCTTTCACAATTCTGAGGCAGTTCCTTTCCCTTTCTTTGGGGTATAGGATGAAAACTGATTGGTTAAGTGAGGTTGCAAGAGAATGGATAGATGTCCACGGCCACTAACACTGCATGCACGTCTCCAGTGCTACAGCCCCTAAAGCTGCCACTCCCCTTGCTATATATGCCATGCTTTCTGTCGGGTTGCAAATTTGCACACATGAAGAATTCCTCAGGAAGAGATTGCACATGCATCGCCTTGCAATATTCTGTACTGACCGAACAAGGGATTTGAAGGTTTTTCAGCACAAAAGGAGAACTTCAGAGTGGTGGTCTGTGCACACGTACTAGCAAAGGTAATCGTGATCTAGCAAATGCGATTGGTTTCTGCAGAATAAAGTGAGCAGGAGCACTTGTATCATAGTATTTAAATAAGCCTGTTTAATCTCTAGAGTAGCCCTTCCAGATTTTGCCTTCTTTTCTTATTGAGACTGGCTATATTTTTGTCTGTTTTTTCTGTTTTGTGGCAGTTATTTTCATGATTATTATAGAGGCAATGCCCTTGAGCTAAAATTCAGTTAATAAGCAGCTATTAAAAATAACTGAACATTGTTTTATGAACATACACTAATCTGAGATTTTAAAACTAAAAAGCAAAACAAAAAAACCTATATTAGGTATCTAGTCAGCTTGGAAGTTTTGAGTTGTATTTTTTTATGGTATCTCATTGGACTTTAGAGTATTATGTTTACTTTAGTCCAGGTCTAAGCCTCTTGAGGGGACTATAGATTGTAAGATCTGGATGTGAATCCCTAGACTGACACCTAGAATAGGTTTATAGGACCTTTTCGGTTGTGGTTGCAGTTGCAGTTTTCAGTAAGATTGCATAAGATGAAATTCATGTTTATCAGAAGTTAAAATAGAAGTTATAGGAGTTCTTGGAGAAAGGGCTTTCTTGTTACTTTCATTACCTTGTTGAAATTTGCCCCAGTTTCTAGCCACCAGAATTGATGAAAGGAGACCCTGTTGTTTTTCAAAGGTAATAATTCCTGTTTTGTGCCCATCATTGATAAACCAGGTCACTGACACTTTCCCTTCTACCCTGGCCAAGACCCTATTCTGAACTTCTTTCCAGAGCTAAGTGGCACAAGTACATATATTATTTCTGCTGATGTTGATGGTGTGGCTGTGGGAGAATTCAACAAAATACTCATCAGAAGTACATTCTTATAGGACCTCAGTATGCATTGTACCCCTGCCGGTTGGAAATTATCTTCGTTTCTGGTTGGACTGCATTGTTTAGAAAAATGTTAATGGTTTATAATTCTAGGGAATTTATAGTGTGGCTCTGGGGTAAATTTTGTGGTTTGGAAAAAAATAAATATTTTGTATTGATTCTAACATGTCATTTCAATGTGGTAACAATGTACTAAATGCAATAAGATTGTAGATATTCTCTTAGAAGGGTATGTTTTGTTAAACAGATGGCAATTTAATGTTCTCATTAGCCCTGTTTGTCAATATTACAACCATGCAATTCAGGAGAAATTATTCAAATGTGAAGTTGTGGGGAGCTATGGCGGAAACAGGAATGCTTATGAATAAATGGGAAGTCAAACGCAGGCAAGAGGCTCTTGCCACCCACCAACCCAGCCAGAGCAAGGATGACGCAATCAAGTCTAGTCCCTGGTGGTGCTTATTTGTTGGAAAGCATGGTGGAGCTTAGAATAGGGTGTTCTGTATACCAACTCTTTTATTCAAGAAAAACAAAATGGTGGATGAAACTCTTTTTGATTAGGGATTAAAGCCACTGACTTTGGCTCTTACCTTTAACTTTTGATGGATTTGGATTTACTCCTTGTGTATTAGGGTGTATACCATCACTCAAAAACATTGTGGTTAATGAAATAAATCTTGTATAGATGTCCTTGCCTTGTTCTGTTGATACTTGGTTCACTGGAACTTTGTTATAATACAGAACATACAATTTTGCTTACAGTAAATTCATAATGCCTCCTAAATGATAATGACACTCAGCACATGTCTGTTCTGTGTTCTGTGAGACAGGGTGATTGTCCATCTTGACCTCTGTACCAGTGATAAAAAAAAAAATGTGTGCGTGTGTGTGTATATATTTAATTATAATTAGTTACCTAGTCTGTGTATGTATGTAGCATTTATACACATACACATATATATGTCGTTTTTCTTCTTTAAACACAGGCACATTGTGGACCTTTATCAAAAGTTTCTGACTTGTGGTTTTTGCATTGATGATACCATGCTTTTAAAAAATAACCCTTTGTGGTTTCTTGCTATGGAATTAGTATTATCTCCTATGTTTTTTGAAATCTCACTTGACAGTTTTAGTTTTAGTCTCGCTTTGTCTTTGCGAGTGCCCTTCCTACTGTGTTCTCAGAATACCAGTTGTCATCCTCCTCTTTTTTAAAACCTAAGCTGTGTTGTACTGGTACCTTCTTTTTGATTACCACACCCGGCAGGATTCTGTGACTCTCTTGTCTTCTTCTCTGCATTGGAATCACTTGACAGTGTCCTCCTTCAGCTTTTTCTCTGTTTCAGCCACATAGGGAGTTCTTTAAATCCTCTCCCTTCTCTTAGCAGATTTTTTTTTTTAACTGAGCATAAAACTTTACTAGAGTCATTTCTTTGTGTGTGTTGATATGTGTTTAATTTATTTCCTCTATTGGCTTATGGCTTCATAATCTAAAATTGCGAAACATTTTGAATTTTAAAGAACATGGTTTGGTAGAAGGAATATTGTACAGGTAATCTGAGAGCAAAAGTCTGTCATGGCTTAACTGAGTTGTCTGTTCTTTAGTAAAGTTATTTTCTCAATCTCCATCTCCCCATGTTAAGCCCTTTTCTCTCCCCAGATTACTCATCATAGAGACCCTTTGCCTTGAGCAATGGGTTTCATTGGCTAGAAGGATAGAACAATTCTAAACTCCTTAATTATGCACCTAAGTGACTAGTAATATACCCCAAAACATATTTAAGAAATGGCCACAACTACAAAGAGTAATAGATTAATCTACCAATATAATAGGCATCTTAAACATTTAATTAATAGATCACAAAGATGTCAAAATTCATGATGATGAAGGGCATGGAAGATTTAAAGAGCACAATTAATAAAGTAGACCTGATAGAGATATATAAAACACCCCTGCTCCCTGCTCCTTTAAATAAGAAAATAAGCATTTTTTGCAAACCAAATCTCATATTGTATCTAAAGTATAATGGATGATGACCATATTGGATTTATCCCAGGAAGCAAATTGTTTAATATTAGAAAATCATTCAGTGTGACTCATCTGTTAATGGATTAAAATATGATCACATTGTGAAAATCCTAAGAGTCTATAAGACAAATTAAAAGACTTAAATTTATCAAGGTCGCTGGAACAAAATCAATATGCAGTCAATTACATTTCCATGCATCCAGCTATAAGCTGTAACATCTTAAATATTTAAATGTAATTAAATAACAATTTACAGTAGTAACAAAACAATATAAAGTATGTGAGAATAAATCTTAAGAGCCATGTATACCTTTTAGTGAGAAAATAAGGATTAAAAAAAAAAAAAACCAACACCTTCATTGACCTAAATAAATGGAGAGACTGATGGAGAAGATCATCTTGGTCTCAACTCTTTGCCCAAATTGGTTAATAGATTAATGCAACTCCAACAAAAAGTCCCAGTGATTTTCACTGTGGTACTTGGCAAGCTGATCCCAGAATGTAAAGTGGATGAAACAGCCAAGGATATTCAAAACATTATTTAAAAAGAATGAAGTGTGAGGGAACTAGCACTACCAGACTTTAAAACTTACTCTAAAATGAAACAAAAAAACTCAGACATCTTAAAGAAGTAAAAAAAAAAAAAAAAAGTTAACTATAAAATGTGATTAAAACAATGTGGAATCAGTAAAGAGATTACGAGTAAATGAACTGCTCAGAAACTGACCCACTTAGTACGAGAACTTAATTTTTAAAAGGGCAGTCGTGGCAGATTTTGAGGGAAGAATGGATTATTTAATAAATGGGGGCTTCAGTAGTTTTTTCACAAATGAAAAAAGTGCATGGGACCTCTGCTTTGCACCAAGCACAGAAAGCAATCCCAGGTGGATTAAAGGTTCACATAGGAAAGTTAAAGCTATAAAATTTCTAGAAGACAATATAGAAGAATATTTTTATGACTTTGGGGAAGGGAAGGATTTTGTAAACAAAGGAGGAGGTGCAAACCAGTGAAAGATAAATAATTTGGCTACAGTGATAGTACTATTGTTTACTGAACATTCCACAGAGTGAAAAAATAAGCCCAAGGTGGAATATGATACAGATATTCACAATATATCTAACTTGTTAAAGAGCTATCTGCAAATTAGTAACAAAAAGAAGAGAAATGTACAAAGGTGCAAGTATTTCACAGAAGGAACAGAAATGGCCCATAATCCTGAAAAGATGTCTAATTTGATCAGTCATCAGGAAATGCACCCGTAAGTACCATTCTCTGGGCACCACATTGGCAACCACTAAAGAAGCCAGGAAATACCAACAATTGGAGAGAATTAGAACAGCACATCTTTTTCATCTGCTGCTGTTGGCATGTCAGTCAGCTACTGTCATTTTGGAAAACAGTATTATCTAGTTAAGTTGACCACAGATATATCTTACAGGCAAGAATTTACACTCAGAGAAACTCCTGTGTAGGTGTCTACACCCAGGAAACGCATGGGAATGTCTCAACAGTTGATTATAATGAGGAGGAAGAGGGCCAATCCACAGTATAATGAGTAACTGAAATCTATGGGTGCAATGGAATTCTGGAGAGCAGTGAGTATGATGTAGAGCTTTGCACATCATAGGTGAATCTCAGAAATCCTGTTAAGCACATCAGAATGATTCATGACTAGTAAAACTAAAGGAAAATTAACATCTAAGATCATGATTTCCTTAGGGGCGGGGTAGAAGGAAAGCAGAGAGGAACATAGGCTTATAAGCACTTGATAATAGGAATATTTTGATTTGACCGTTGTAAATATGTCAGTTCTTGAGTTAATATGTATATTCGGTGCAAAGCCAATCCAAATGCCAAAGAATATTTATTTTTAATATAAATTAAAAATTCATACATATGGAAGTATAACATGAAAATAGGATCTTCATTGAAAGGGGAGAAAAAAGGGAACTTGCTGTACCAAAAAAAATTTTTTTCTTCCAAGTGCAATTAAATTTTTACACTTAATATAAAATTAGGCAATTCAATGGAAAAATAGTTTTAAAATGAACTCAAATGCTTTTAAGAATTTAGAATACATTAAAGTTGGCTTTTTGAAATAATTCCAACCATGATGGATTTTACTCAATAAAAGGTGCTGGTTTAAGTAGAGAAAATTAAATTTATTCCCATCAGACCATTTACCAAAACAAATTCCAGTTGGACTAAAATTCTGAGAATATGTTCTAAAAGAAGACAATACAGTTAATATTTGGGGGGATTGAGAAGTTTGTTCTAAGGATGTTAGCAACGGCATGAAACATTGCTGTCCAAACCAGTCACCCGAGTCATGTAGAGCACCTCCCCAGCATGTGTATATAGATATGTATATTTTTAAATTAATGTTTACGTACTATCCTAATACACATAAGACAAAAATAGAAAAAAAGGTGAAAATGTTTTAAAATCTCTTTTGTGTGTATTGTAAAAATACCTTTTGCTCTTTCTAAACCTTTTTTTCTTATAGTGAGAGCTATATGATTAAAAATGCTTCATTATTTTTGAAACTTATAGTTTTAACATTTTGTGATAAAAATTACTTAATTTCTGGTTCTAAGGTAAGTTTATTTCAGTGCTGGGTTTTAATGGCTATTGTAGCTAACAAAGCCACTTCATTTAAGATCTGTGGATCCAAATGACTGTGCTTACCGAGAAACAATGCTCATTTTCAATTCCATCTACTAGTCTTCAAAAGTGTTTGTTGAAATCTTTATAATAAATTTCCATCTTTCTCACTGTCAGTACCTTGTTGCTCAGTTGCAAGTGTGGCATTTTTATTGTTGGTTAAGAAAAAAAAATGGGTTCAAAACTTACTGAAACTCATTTTTGGGTTTCATTTCCCAAGTTTTAAGTGTGTCCTTATGAAAGTTTTTACAGATGGCAGTTTTTGGTAATACATTTTCATGAAGCCAGAAACCTGTGTAACCATTTTCAAAATGCTTTCAACTGAATTTCTTTTGGAAAAGATAGCTTCTTTCTCAGTGTCAGAGTATCATTTTTACCTTGGAGGGTCAGATAAAATCTGTTCTTTTTTTAAAATACCTTTTACATTGCATATTACTGACAGGCACTTGTCACCACAAGAAAGGTCGGCAAATTGCAAGCATTTGTCTTTTGCTCAATAAATAATATGTCACCTTTAAGTTTGACAATACTTTTAAGAAAACTAGCAACCTTTTTTAGGATTTAAATTTCCCCATATTATGAAATACTATAAGCGTGCTCTTGTGTAAGATAAAATCCAGGAGTCCAGTTGCCTTGATGAGGCACACAAACTACTATGTTCTCCACGAGGATGGCACCATTGTCAATGCCTCCGCATTGTGGAGCTCTGGCTGCTTCTTGCAACAGACCTCATGTTTTCTGCGTGCTACCTAACCACTTACATGTGCACTGTGTTTATGAAGTTTGGGTAAAGCTCCTATACTCTTAAAAATGTATATAGCTCATGTTATCTTCCTGTACCTCTGTGGATCATCTTGCTTATTTATTACTTCAGAGACCACAAGCTTAAAATTAAGGAAGTTAAATTAGCTCACAGAAATCCTAAGATTGGACAGCTCCAGGGTTGATAAATACAGCACCTCATTCACATCATCAGGGAGGCAGGTCTCGTCCAGCCTC